CTTTCCCATGACCTTGTCGTCCGTCAGGAGTATTACTTCAGTTTGAGTGTGTGTGTGTGTGTGTGTGTGTGTAGTTAGGGGTATAAATGGTCGGAAATTGTGTTGAAGTGCCTCAAATGCTGCCGACGTGTCAAGTAGCGGCCTGAATGCAGAAAGATGAGCAATTTGGCAATCGGTGCCGTTCTGGGAAACGGTTGGCCTACTCCTGTCCGAGGGAGGACTGGACAATCTGTCTTTAGACGTTCACTTCTGCAAGAGACGACTCGGCACGCGAGTAGAAAACTATAAATATCTCATCTAATAGGAAGAGTTGGGCGAAAACTTTTGCATTTTTGCCCATTTTATGGCCCGGTCAGGCCGGACCCGGAGGGGAGGATCGTTTGGGCTGCGGTTCGAGAGACTAGTTGAGGCAAAAGTAGGCCATGGATAGTCGATAGAAGAGGGTATAGTCGGAGGATAGAGGGTGGATTTAATGGGAAACGACGAATTGATGCGACTCAGCTCAACGTCGTCGATCCCATTTTGCGGCGGGCAGATGATCCGTTAATGACGTGGCGAAAAGATGAGTTTCCGTTATCTTTTACTGACTTGCTTTGACGCGATATTTTCATTCAGTGCACAAGTCGGCTGCAAGAAATGGTTGAAATGGTCGCCCAGAAAAGCGAAGCAATGTTCAACTGTCCGAAGTTGTCAAGCCCGAAAGCAATATTGCTGTGCATGGGCATGTTTGTGTTTGTGTGTGCAGCCATGGGAAGCCAAGTTGACAGTCTCGGATAAACGAAAATAAACAATATCCGAGCCATTCTCAATACAATCGCACAGTCTAATGATAATAAATTCACAGATTGCCTCCATTCAACATTTATTACAAAATTAAAAGTCTATTTAAATAAAATTGACCTTATTTTTTTTCTAAACGCGAAGAGTGATTATCTTCTCAGGATATCTATAGATGGGTATTTGTATGTGTGCTTACAGTTAAACAAATACTCAAATTGTCTTCTTCAACTCAGCTTTGACGACTAAATTGCAAAATTACTTAAATTCTTGAAAGGTACTCACATCAAAATTAAGTAACATCCTTTTTTATTCAACAGTGGGATTCGTAATATAGAGCAAACTTGAATTAAGAGTACTACTTATATACTACTGAAAAGGTTTGGAGACTATTGGTAGATTGTGTAATAACTTTAGTCACATTTAGTTGCACAAAATGACGTAAAAGGCTGTTAATTCCATTTTATTCTTGCATAAATTGGTCGATAAATTTTTCAGCTTTCAGAATAACATCAGCAACACCAACTTGATGTGAACCCGGATCTTATGTATCCGCTGGCAACAGGCGACTTGTCATCGAGTGACCAATCGAGTCCTGTTCGATGTGTTGCTGAAACGCTGAGGCGAGATAGAACGGATTTAGAGAAAAGGTAGACGAACATTTTCTGCCGTCTTCACACCTTTTCGGGTCACTTCAAATAGCACCATTTGATTCCCTTTCAGCAAGCTCGAATTTACGATCGTCCTCAAAAATGCTACATAATGAAGTAGACCCTTGAACATTTGCCCCATAAACACATGACTTCATCGGTTGCATGGCAGCAAAGGGAACTTAACCGGTACGATCGAAATCAGCTTCAGGTTGCGCTTCTCAAATAAAGGCAGTGATACATAAACTTTGGCGAAGCAGGTTTTCATTAGAGTGTGTCAGCAGGACTGATAGAAAAAGCCAGAAAAATTCACACCCAAGACATCTCTTTTATGCATACTTTTATCATACTTCACATTTATGCCTAATTAGACTTGTGTGAATTGAGCCAATTCGCTTATTTTTCCATCCAACATAACGACACTACTGACTAGCAAATTAGTAGAGCATTGTTTTTGCCGGTCGAATTGCCAATGCGCTTCTGGTTAGGGCGTAGAAAACACTCGAATCTGACGAAAAAGCCTTTTTGTCATGCTCTCTTGGGTGCTGTTGAATGGTAGACAGCGGTTTTGTCAACATGTAGCTGTTGTCAATTGTGTCGGCAACCGCCGAGTCGGTTTGGTGGGACTTTGGTTCTGCGACATGATGCGTGAAGGGTTGCTGAACCTGGTGATTTTCTCTTTATTCATCCTCGAGCGGATTGACCAACGCCTCCGACCGATCCGCAACAATCCCGAGCGGGAGCAGTTGTCAATCGGTCTTTTTCCATCACACTCGACGCCATTCGGATGGGTTGCAATGGTCATCATACACACCTGCCTTGGTCTGATTGGCTCACCTACTCGACCAATCAACGTCAGGACAGCGTTGACCAATCAACGTCAGGACAGCGTTGACCAATCAGTGTCGACGGCAGGCTGACCAATTGGAAGGGAGATCGAGGGCGACTGTTAGAGGGGGCCACGTGCCGGGCAAACTGGGCATATTTCACGCACCGTTTGATGCCACAGTTTCTCGGCAGAAGCCAAGCGAAATGCCACTTGCCGTTGTCGGCGTTCTTGTGAGTGATTAGTTGAAATTGTGCTTGTTGCTGGGCTCACTCGCGTGTCTCCAACTGGACTGTTGTTGTGCTATAATCGGCCGACATGGTCACCTGCTCGTTGCTGAGCGCCACGATCAGGTGAGCATGTGCTCTCGGGCAGACGAGGCATGACATGATCGACGCGTCGGAATCGCTCTGTGCTGCCTCGCCGTTCGGATTGGCTAATCGTCTGCCATGGCGACGCGAAGAGTGTCGCCGTCGACGTTCGACTTGCCGGCCAGTTGCGGTCGCGGTCGGGCCGTCAGCTGGCCTGCACACATGCACGTCTGTCTGCTGATCGTGCAAGTCGGCGTCGCCGTTGGCGTCGCCGTTGGTGTCGGCTTGGCCGAAGGCGTGGAGCCGAGTCCGTACAGCTTGTCGGTGG